CCCCAAGGAAATTCTCTGGTCTGACCTTTAAATCGGCCACGATAGTGACTATTAAAATGACTCTTAGGACTTTCTGGAAAAATATAATGTCTGGGTCTAAATAAGCGATGAAGTTCGAGTTTAAAACAACGTGGAGACTGAGAAAGAGTTCCAACTTACTACTCAAACTCAGCATGCTAAACATTTAATATGTCATAAAAACTTAATAAAATTAAAAACTAGAAAAGAATTCTATGATGTCAAAAATGCGATTTCAAACTTTCCCGGAGGAGGAAGAACAGTTGAAGCATCAAAAAAAAAACAGCGTAGGGCAGTTTACGGCCAAGGAGCTATTGTTTAGGCAGAAACATCCCAACGAAATAAATCAGCAATGTATTTAATTATGTTGCTCCACGCTCGTCGAATATTTTGAATGTTTTGACTTTCACCATACAAGGAAATCATTGTTATATGATTCCCATAAAAAAATTCTTGTCCGCTTATAAATCATTGATTCCTATGATATTCTACAGATTTCGCACCTAACGTGTGAGGTCTCCACATGCTTTAATATGGCTGTATCTTTCCTCTACAGACAGCTATCATTGCCAATTTTCGCTCCTGAAAAAGAATTTGAGAATTCCTTTTGAGACATTCGATGTTGTAGGGTGATCTCTATCTGTCGAGCCCAAACTGAACGATTCTTGTGAAGGAATCAAGCATGTTGACCAGTTCAGTAGACACTCTCTACCGAGAACGGACGAATTCTGAGCCGACATCGAAAAATTTAACCTTCGAATCCAAGGTTTGCGGAGGACGTTACCAAAAAAAAACAAGTATCAAAGAATCTAATGGCTGGCATTTAATGTGAAGTCCCCCAAACGTCTGGAAATCTCTGAAATAGGCAATACCATCCCCATAGTCGCTTGAGCAAGGCATTTTGTAACAATTCAAGAAGACCACGGTTCCCCAGAGAACGGAATGGCGAGCTAAGAACTCTGTGATGGTGAGTTTCCTGAAAGGGCAGGGCAGTAGACATTTGGACGGAGCCATGGACGTGATTGGGTCAAATAAATTGCTAAGTATGGAAGCACCAAGTGGATATAAACTTGATGCTTCCGACTGGGAAACTTATCGACCCAAACTACAACTGCGACAGAATTCCCGTCTGTTTGACATCCTACTGTTTTGACGAATGATCAGATTCTCCCTCAAACGTCCTGAGAGTTCCATAAAACGATAAAACAGCCAGCCTTAACTATCTGGGTCCCTACACTGAAATATCTACCGAAGTATCTTGGGGCGACGATTCCCTTCGGCATGCCAAAAGCGACGAAGTAAAAGGTGTCCCAGACGAGAACTAATAAAAATGTAACGATTCGAGTTGTAGTAGAGGAAAACGAATGCTATCCAAACAGTAACAGACTGAGTACCAAAAACAACTCATTACACGGGTGCGAAATTGTTAGAACGGTTTTGTAAACCTGTCTGTTCGATCGTTACGGAGAACTCGGCAAGGGATGTGTGAGGATTACCACCCACTCGTCATCCTCATAACCGGAACAGTACTCGAACCTTCTCCCTTGTTAAAGAAAAAAGAAACTTGCTTTCAAATATTCATGCCTGTTACCCAGTCTACGCTTAAAAACTCATACCACTGTATACCCCGAATACACTGAAACTCATTGTACCCCAAGTGATCAGTAGAATTCATAAGTGATTTCCCTCAAAGACGAAGATAGCGCCGTAGTTGGACAGGCAGTAAATGCTCAATGTGTCGATCACATGTCTGACAGAATTCCGCAATAATCAGCCAAACAATACCATGGTCCTAGATCATATGGTGAGGTTCCGTTGTCCATCCAGGACATCTTTTGGTTGGGATGAGGGAGAACGAACCTGTCCTCACATTGACCACAAAATTCAATGTCCGCGTCAAATAAATAATCAAAGTAAAATATCATTTTGAATGAAATTTCGATACTTAGAAGAATACGAAGGGCTGTGAGTATTGTTGCGTTCTATTCCTGCCACTCGATTCTTTCTTGCCAAAGGTCGTTGCAGATAAAAAGAATACAGATATAGAGCACTGAATGTGACCATAAAGTTGATCTTTCGACTTTATCCTTTCTCTTTTACACCCACCAATAGCTTTACATGAGAGAACACTTTCACGAAAACTCGTTTATACTTTTGGTTCAGACTGGTTCCTGTTTCAGTTCAAGTTCGGGAAGGACACAATTACAATCTTAATATGTAACCTTTGACGTTGCATGCAATGATCGCTTTGAGTCTAGCATCGTGACTAGGAACCTCTATGGGGTCAAGCAATCAATCAAGGTGAGAGCTAAGTTTCGGACTTAACCCTTTTCATGATTGCTGCATTCTTCGAAAATAAAAAAAAATTATTGGCGAAGGTATGCCCAACAAAAAGGCAGTTTCCAACTATAGAAAACCAACAACTACTGATCGAGAAGTTTTGAGAGTTCAAGAAAGCAGCAGCAAAAAAGGCACTTATCCGTGGAATACTCTAAAATGTACAAAGCGCTTTTCAGAGCATATATAGCTGGCATTACCTGGGATCTCACTCAAATTCTCAAACCTGGGCAGTTACACATTCAAAAACCTCCAACGGGTCTTCAAAAGACGCTTTGAACCTTTCAAAGTATCCCACGACAGTGCCTTTGTTGTTCTCATGAACTACTACAGTACAAGCTTACTGGTGAGACTCTCGCTATCATGGCTCGACACTTAGTCTCACTAGAGTCTTCCATGTAGGGATTTCCACTAATATACTGGCCGCAGTGAACTCACAAAAACGGCTCCTTCCCCACCTTCGTATGCACTGCAGTCTTGCATTACCACTAAGCATTAGTTCGTGTTTGCCCCGCACACAAGTTAGGGATGAGTCGTCAGCCCTAACTTCTGTGCGAGGCTATCACAAACTAAGGCTCAGTGGTAATGCAAGACTGCAGTACACAGATTCCCAGCCCTGGAGGAACAAGGGCCAGAGTTGAGCTAAGCAGAAAATGGCAACACATCGCTTCAAAATATTTCCCAATATGATCCCATCATAATGTAGGCACGTGTGTTCCAATAGATCTCGTCAAGTTTGGGAAAAATTCTTCTAAACGCTCTTATTATAGAACATAATTAGTTTCTCAGTACAAGTTG